CCCCCCTTTTCTCTTTCTCTCTCTCTTTCTCTCTCTCCCTTTCTCTCTCTCTCTCTCTTTTTTCTTTCTCTGTCTCCCTCCCCACTTTCTCTTTCTCTTTCTCTCCCCCCCTCTCCCTTTCTCTCTCTCTGTCTCTTTTTTCTTTCTCTGTCTCCCTCCCCACTTTCTCTCTCTCTCTCTTTTTCTTTCTCTCTCTCCCCCTCTTTTTCTTTCTTTCTCTCTCTTTCTCTCTCTTCCTCTCTCTCTCTCTCTTTTCCCCTTTCTCTCTCTCTCTTTCTCCCTGCCTCTCCCCTATGTACCCCCAAATCTACTGAAATGCCTTTGGAGCAAATTCCTTAGCCACAATTTTGTGAGAATTTGTTTGGAGTTCATATCTGTCACATCTATTTAACAGCTTCGGAGGGAGGTTTTCAAGAGGGGCTGGGATGCCTCCCTTACTGACACCTCCCGAAAATGAGTGAAATGTGCCCCCTCGGCGTGCCAGACCGCTGCCTGCTCCCACTTTGGGCCATGCTAATGTAGGTTTGCAAGCGCTACATCTGCAGCTTAGGGTCGAAGTGTGGGGATCCCTGGTGCTCTTTGGGCTTAATGGTTTTCTTGCAGATGTTTCATTAGCTAACTAGGTAACATCATCAGTGCTAGAAGAGAACGGGGTTTGCTTTGCTCTCTGTTTATATAGGGAGCAAACCCCCTATAACTGTATGGGTCCTATGTGGAAGGGCAAGCTACTGTATATATAAACAGAGAGCAAACCCATGACATTAGTTAGTTGGATCATGAAACATCTGCAAGAAAACAACCCACAGCTAGTGTATATAAACAGGGAGCAAGGCACACTCACTAGCATTGATGATGTTACCTAGCTGGGTCATGAAACGTCTGCAAGCAAACAGCCAAATTCAGAGTACCCAGGATCCCAGAATAATCTAGTTTTTTTTTTTCTCTTCCTGTCCTGGCAGGTGTCCCCGTGAAAGTCACCAATATGAAGGATGGGGTTGTCTACCATACGTCCCTGGAACTCTTCATTTACCTGAATGAAATTGCGTAAGCATTTCCCCCTCCCGTAGATTTGAGCAACATTTAGCTAGGCTGATTTTTGTGGACTAGGCTGAGATTGGACCGCAGGCGGCGCGGTTCCCGTTTGTCCAGGCCCAAAATTTTGAGCCTGGAGGCATCGGGAATTCTACGGTGAGTGGAGGAGTGGAGGACTCTTCTGGAGAAATACCTCTCAACCCACTCAATCGTGTTAATGTCCGATATACCGTGTGGGTTCCAGGCGGACGAGCTGTATGCCCTAGTTAACAATTCAATGTTGCCGGAGAAGAAGCTTTGCAAAACAAGGTTAACATTTTGCCATGGTCTGTGGGGGATATCCCTGTGAGACAAGAAGAGGAAGAGGGACAGCCGGGGCAACAGTTTGTCATGGAAGGAATGGAGGTGGAGAAAGCATCTCAGCGAGGGTTTCTCCCTAGTTCCTTGGAAAGTGAAGCAAAGCAGAAGAGATATGCTTTGGTCCTTGCAAGACTTTTATTGTAACCTTCCAGTAAGAGGTGATAGCTCAATGGTCAGAAACCTTCACTAGTTCCCAGAAGGCTCAGCCATGGTTATGTGACAGCTGGCAGAGGAATTTTGGGAGTTGTAGTCCACGCCTTCCAAGAATGGCTAGCTGCCTGGAGAAGACAATCTCATCCTTTTGAGTTTTGGCTCATGAATGTTGCTCACTTGTTATGCAGGTCCCAATATATCTAAATATATACATACATACATACATACATACATACATACATACATACATACTACATACATACATATAACCAACACCTCTTGTTTACTTTTTCCCTTCAGTGGCAAGCATGGTGTTGGGCGTATCGACATTGTGGAGAATCGGTTTATTGGGATGAAATCAAGAGGTAATTGCTTTCTTTTACGGACATTTCCAGTGGCTGTAATGCTGTATTTTTACATAATATGTAACTATTGCAAAGGTCTCCGTACTTGGCAACTTTGAGACTTGTGGACTTCAGCTCCCAGGTATTCTTTCTAGAAGGCTGGCTGGGGAATTCTGGGAGTTGACGTGCACAAATTTTAAAGTTGTCCAGCTTGGAAACCAGAGGTGGGTATTCAGCAGGTTCTGACCAGTTCTGGAGAACCGGTAGTGGAAATTTTGAATAGTTGGGAGAACCGGCAAATATCACCTCTGACGGGAGATTTATACAGTCATGCCCACCAAGCCATGCCCACAGAACTGGTAGTAAAAATTTTTTTAATCCCACCACTGTTGGAAACCCTCCGATCGATTTGGCTTCATCAATCAATCTCTTGTTCTTGTTGTGTAGGGTACATTAACTATAGATTAGCCACGTAGTTTGGGTTCCTACAACCTTCTAAGTGGATTTAATAGGATCATGAGAACCTTAACCAACCAATAATATTCTCTGACTGGAAAACAGGCTGTCTTTAAATTTGATGGCTCATATTCAAAACTGGACCACGGAAGTGCCAAGATCTCTGCAACTTAAGCGGACCAATTACCAATTAGAAAATTTTAAGTAGCCATCATTGTCTGGCACTGAATATTTCCATTCCCCATCTACTTCTTTCTCTCCCTCTCTCTTCAATCTTTCCTGGCGGCAATTACAGCCTGATTGAAGTATACTGAGCTTTGCCTCTTGACACCGCTGTCTTTTTTTCTCTATAAACACCCAGAAATGCAGTTGACACGGCAAGTGGCAGAGTGACACTTTTGAAGAGATCTTTCTGTCTTTTGCATAGTAACACAGGAAGGCCATCTATCATTTGCTTCTTTCCTCAGGCTGTGATTTGCACTTTGACTGTCTGGGAGTTTTAAAATATATATCTCTCCAAAATATTACTTTGGCTTTCAAACTGCCATCTTTGCAGCTTTGGGCTTCCTGTCACCGATCGAGCAAAAATATTTTGGAGTGGGAGGAAGATGGGAAAAGAGGCATCTTGTATTTTCATTAATTTTTTCTGAGTAAAATTACTGGTAGGGAGTGAGGGTGGGAGTTGGAGATGCATAAAGAAGAAGAAAAGCTGAAGGAATGCTTAGACACCGAGTTGACGCTAAAACATCAGCTTTTTATCAGTCTAAATTAGCTTTAACATCCCCAGAGGTGTAGATAGATAGATAGATAGATAGATAGATAGATAGATAGATAGATAG